TACCCCAAATCAGTTTAATTAGATTAGCGATTTTATGTTTGCAATCCTCATTTATCCAGATTTTCATTCCAGATGCCTTAATAGCCACATACTTCTTTCACAGGAAACTTCAATCTGATGTGCTCCAGATGCATTACAGGAAAATAGAAAGTTTTGGAAAGCTGCTTTAGAGACTATTCTATAATAATGAAAGTACTATATACTTTTACTGAGTCTTTCCTCAAACAAGTATTGGCAAAGGCAACAATTCTATAACTAACTCTTTGTTTAAAATATTTACAGGCAACTTTCAGAGTAAAGCCCATGCCAAGATCATCAGTCATGGCACAGACTTCATTAAGATATTATGAACACATAAGAATACAGTATTGTATAAAAGCTTAAGGCTTGATCCCTACTTAGTCACACTGAGAATATACTTAGTGAAATCAGTGGGATTTAGGCTGGTCATGACTAGCAAATCTCAGCAATTTTAATAGCTCTATTTGCAAAAATTATGGGACTTGAAAGTCAATCATTTAGAAACCACAAATTTTAGGGATGCCTGATCTTCTGCCACAAATGTTAGGCAGTATTTAGAAGCTGTGCATGATTATCATGAATTACCTCCCATTCTTCAGAATTATTTTCAGAACAGAACTTTCTCACTGGCAAGACTTCTGTCTGTTTGCTTTACTGCACAGGTAATCCTCGACATACGACCACAACTGAGCACAACATTTCTATTGCTAAGCAAGACATTTGTTAAGCGAGGTTTGCCCCATTTTATGACCTTTCTTGCCAGTTGTTAAGTGAATAACTGCAGTCAATTAAGTTAATACCATGGTTGTTAAGTGAATCTGGTTTCCCCATTGATGTGCTTGTCAAAAGGTTGCAAAAGGTGTTATATGATCCCGGAACACTGCAACCGTCATAAATATGAGTCAGTTGCCAAGCTTCTGAATTCTGATTATGTGACCATGGAGATGCTGCAACGGTTGTAAGTATGAAAACTGGTCACTGGTATAAGTTAATTTTTTCAGTGCCATTGTAACTAAACAGTCACTAAATGAACTGTTGTAAGTCAAGGGCTATTTGTACTGTACTGTACTGTACTGTACTGTGTTCTAGATTTACAAGCAGATGGCAGCACATACTAATATGCAGACATCTCTCATTCATAAAGTTGCTGCAGGGTAAAACTACGTACATCAGTTACTGCATCTTGCTTTCTCTGATAGGCTGCTGAGCTTAATTACACTAAAAAGGAAAAAAAGGTTAACTCACTGACGTTCTTAAAAAATATATCCAAGTATTACATACTGAACTAAAATCCTCCCCCACCCCCACAACCACCACCGTTTCTAAGCAATTTAAAGACCTGAAACATCAAAGTCTGGTCTCATTGGTATCACTGGCATCTTTAGTTGTTCCAACTGTTGTAGGAAAGCTGCATTTTTAGGGAAAGGATCTTTGCTAGGGATAGCAACTGGGAAGAACAGGGAGCTAAACATAGTCCTCAACTTACGACCACAACTGAGTGCAAAATTTCTGTTGCTAAGCGAGACAACTGTTAAGTAAATTTTGCCCCATTTATGACTTTTCTTGTCACAGCTGTTAAGTGAATCACTGCATTTATTAAGTTAGTAACATGGTTGTTAAGTTAACATGGCTTTCCCATTGACATTGTTTGCTAGAAGGTTGCAAAAGGGGATCACATAAATATGAACCAGTTGCCAAGCATCTGAATTTTGATCACATGACTATGGAGATGCTGCAACAGTCATAAGTGTGAAAAAATGGTCATAAGTTACTGTTTGAATGGTCACTAAATGAACTGTTGAGAGTCGAGGACTACCTCTCTCTCTCTCTCTCTCTCTCTCTCTCTCTCTCATTTTCATCAAGTTTTTCTCTTTTTGCAGATTTGTATATTTCTAGCCTTCATACAATTAGGTACAATATAGATATTTGCATTTATAGTAATCAAATATTTGCAATTCAAGCAAATCTGATAAAAAAAATATTCTTACTTTATACTCCAGTATACTTGGCTTAAAATTAGCAAAATGACAAATGAATGAAACTACGGGTATGTTCAAGATACAAGGAGGAGGTATGTAATTCTTACATTTATTTTATCTATTAGACATGCTATTTGAAAATGCAGTCCTAAAAATGCTTACTCAGAATCAAAGTTCACTGAGTTCATATGCTTGTAAGATTGTAGTCTAAGGTTGTAATAATAAGATTCTTATTTTGGGATTAAACCTCCTGAATTAAAACCTGTGAGTATATAAACTTAAAAATCTATATATCAAAAGTTCACAGGTGCAAAAGTTGTGAATTTGGCTAATTCTCAGTCACAAGGTCAACAATGAAGAATACTAAAAGATGTAATTCAGCATTATTTGGCAGGATCACATATTGAGTACTTATTCAAGGAACACAGTACAACTTCAGAATAGTGCAAAACAGTCTGAACATTAATGTAGCTGGATAAAATTGGGATAATGTTATACCAAATTATTTAGCACTCTTTAAAACAACATTTTTTTTACCAATTCGTTTACAATTTATTTTAGCAGACTATTAACACCATTATTTTCATCATTACCATTAAGATTTTTATCAAACCTCTTAAGATTTTTAGCACTAATACCATTTTGTGTAAAAGAATTATACAGACCAAATTAAAGCCACTACTGTAATTTATGACATTTGCAATTTCCCGACTAGATTCAAATTTTCTAAGGTAGAAGGCAATCTTAAAGTCTATCAAATAAGTTCATTTAGATATATGTTCATGATTTATCACTCTTTCAGAGAGGTTGAAGATCTATAGATACTAAAAAAAAACCCAAAAGTTTACACTGATTGGTAGAAGAAATCAGCATAAGTTAACTAAACGTATTCACGGTCAACCAAGAATTATAAATTATGAAATTTATATAAATTATGAAATAATTTATATAAATTTATGAGTTATGAGATGAAGAGAGTTTTGATTGAAGTATTAGAGGTGTTAAGCTATTGAAAATGTTCATACTTGTCTTGTTGATGGGGAAGTTATTTTTTCTATATTTCTTTTTTTCTTTTTTATATATTTCTCCTCCTTTTTGCAATTTCTATTTTTTTCTTGTTTATATTTTCTTACTTTTTGTTAGTTTATTTTTGTAATTTTAAATTTCAATAAAATTGTTATAAAAATGTATTTGCAATCAAGTATACACTATAATAAGTATATCATCTGGCACACATCCAGTGGCAACCAGGGTCGCACCTTTTGCATTAGCAAGTCATGCTTGTTCAACCGTAGCAGCAAAAAGACAAGTTGAACTCTTGCCTCAGGTAGTTTAAAGACTTCTTAAGAACCAAGGTAGATGTTCAGAAATCTCATATGGTACAGTACTAGACTATATCATCTTAGAATTATTATTTATCTGAATGCTGTATCCTATGCTCTAATAAAACTTTATACCACAGAGGGTGAGGGCTAGGTAGGAATCTTTTGTCCTGACTTTTTAATGTGCTAGGAGTGTTATTTGCATTGCATGTTGGGTTATTCAGCTAAACTGTAAAGTAGCTGCCATAAAAGAGCCATTGATGTATATTTGATAACAAGAAACAGATATATGAATAATCTCACTAACTAAAATGACATTGCTCCAGTCTACATTAGTAAGTCAAATTTCAGTGTTCAAAGTCCCATCCTATTATTTTTTAAAGAATTCAAAACAACAGCATTTTCCCACAGGAAAGATTCTTATAAATAATTTCAAAATCTTATTTCCATCTGGATTCTTAATCTGTTTATATCATCAGTCTGTCTTTCTGATATTTCCCAAAAGCACTCTGATAGCCTATCACACCAAAACACTATTAAGAAGGGGAAAAATAAAATATATAAAGCATAATTCTGAACTCAAGAAAAGAAAGCTGATGTAACAAATCTAGATATAAAACTATTCTGATTGTAGCTTGTTTCTTTTATGCATGGAGTTATTATAGAAAATGTTTATTATTTACTGCCTGGGAAGTAGAGCAGATTATAATCCATTTACTCAGTAAGTCTATACACATTCCATACATTGGTACAGCAAAAGCCACTAATCTAGAAGATTACTGATTATAGGCAAGCATTCTTTGCTCTTTGAGAACAGTTTTGAATTTTTCCTGTTTAAATATATTTAATTCACAAGAGAGAACAAATATAAAGTTATTTTAGTTTAATCACAAGTAGCATTTTGGAGCATGAGTTTCTAGCCTTGCAGAAAATCTTCATAAAAGAAAAGGTTCTGCTATTGAAACTTGGTTCTTTTATATATCCACCACTGAGAAAGACAAAAAGCAAACTGAACAGCCATTTCAGTAGCAGAGTGTAATAATATATAAGAAAAAAAAGGAAAAAGGCAATATACTACATGCAGTGTTGGTAAAACGGGTGTGTTAGAGGCTGATATTAAAACATTCTTATCAGAAGACGTGAAAAATGGTATTAAAAGGGAAGGGGGAGGGGAGAACCAGGATAGAAACTGGGAAGTGGGGAAACCACTCCTGATTCCAAATTTGAGCACGTGGATGTCGAAGTGAAAAGGAAAGGATTATGTTGGGATATGATGGTATCAATGAATGGAATGCAAGCCTCACACAACATTAAAAAGGTTATGGAAAACGACAGGGACAAAAGCGAAGGGTGGCCAGCAACGTGATTCTGCCCGTCTTTGCCCACCTAGGGTCAAAGAGGCTCATGCTGGAGAAAAGATGCACGGGGCTTCAGCTTCAGACAAGAAGGAATGGGAGAGAAAGACCCGGCCTGTTGCAAAGTTTCTAGGGCACGAAAAGCGATGCCACCTCCCGGGGTTATCCGAGGATGCTTCCCTAGAGGAGTCCAAAGAGAGCCATCCCCGGGGAAGGGGCACTCACAGGGCTTCCCTTAAGGACAGGGGTCGGCTTTTTCCACCCCACCATCCACTCCGTCCCCAGCCGATCTGCCGACACTCCGACCCGCGCGCCTCCCTCACCATCAGCACTTTGGCCGCGCTCTCCAGCTGAGCGATCACTTCGGAGGCTCCCCCCGCCACCGCGGCCGCCGCCATCATGGTCTCTCTTCAATGACGCGCCATGCAATGCATTCTGGGACGAGGCGGCCGCCCAGCCAATCCGGGATCTCGGAGAGCAGAAGGGGCCCGGAGGGAGCGCTGGAGAGGGGAGGTCGTGCCGGCCCCGCGGAGCGGTCGTGAGGCGCTTCCCGCCGGCTGCGGGGGTGGCGGAAGCGGCGGGTTGTCCCTTGAAATGGCTTCAGGGAAAATGGCGAGAGAGCAGTTCCGCCGGGTCGGGGCGGAGAGGGGGGATGCGGGCATACGGCTCGACCCTTCCCCACCATGCGCAGTCATAAAGCCAAAGGGGCTGAGGTGGCGACGGTTTGGAGCGGGTTGTCGGAAGCCTAAACGCTCCCTCAACGAGGACGCCAACATCCACCAGTTCCCAAAAACTCGAGATTTAAACTCTTCGCCAGCTAAACTGTGAGAAACGCCGGTGGATCTGGGATTGGTTGTTTCCATTCTCAGTCCCCTATAACTCCAGTCCACTGCCAGCCATAAAGTATTCGAGGGAGGGTCATCCAGGTCAAAGGATTTGTTCTCCAATCAAGTTGGAAGCTAATGCAATCCATCTACGTCGAGATTTTTGTGCATTTGGGTTTTGTTTTTTAAAAAGGTGGATTCTCCCAAAAGGCACAATGCACAGTTAAGGCAATACTTAAGTTAGTTACGTCTTCCCAGTTCCTTATTTATAGAAATTTTGAAAGACAACAGAAAAGTGATTGAATTTTGCATAATACTACATGATGTGGAATTTATATAATTCTATGTCTAAGATTAATTATGGAACCAACCATGTGTATTTCCATTAGGATGGCCTTCTGTTCTTTTAAATAATTCAGTATAGTAAGAATTGTGTAAGAAAATGTAATGCATGATCATATCGCATAGCCAGCTTAAATATCAGATGTTGCAACTCACAGTGTGGAGATTCTTAGGGTACATCATATTTGTCTACCAAATACATTTCATCTGGCCCAAAGTTTTCTGTACTTGAATAGCACCATCAATCTGAGACACTAAGGCAATATTGAAAACAAAATGAAGCAAGTACTGTAAGTAAATATTGATCCTTTCTTGGCTGGCAAGGCATATACTACAATAAATTATTTCCCAAGACAAAGGCTCAGGTAAGCAGTCATGTAACAACACCACAATGCTATTATGAAAGAATTCACATCACTGCTGTGTATCAAATGCTAACTCTATTCATAGTATGGTCATTGTTTAATCTGCCTTTTTCTCCCACCTATTCTACGGTATGTCAAGAGCTAGAAATGAATGTCTTTGGGGTAGAGATATTGTATCCATTCCTTGTTTTAATAACAAACTGATTTAGTATAATACAAGGTTGTTTATTTTTTACTAGGTGAAGACTATATAATCTGTGCACTTCAGAATATCTTTTGACCATTTAACTCATTCATCTGCATTATGTGTAGCATATTCTGAATATGATCTCATCTGGACCAAAGGTCTAAGCATAGAGTGCAGTTGCAGCATTCTTGATCCTTTATGATTAAATTATGTACACAGTATTGGTTTTTCTTTCAGGAGTTTTCAACTCAAGCCCAATCTGCATTCATCTTCACTTCTTTCATCCTCAAAATGCAGAAAACTCTGCAAACCCTCTGAGTCACCCAGTATCCACTTTTAGTTGACCAATAGGGGAATGCAAAGAAATCATTACTGTAGTAGCTCCCCTATCACAGCCCTCACTGCTCCCTCTTAACATTTTTAATTCATTGTGAATTGGATCATTTGATCATGTCTCAGAAACGGGGGGGGGGGAGAGACAGCAGTTGCATTAAGGAAAGGCTTTCTAGCTGCAGATTTGCATTTCTTCCCTAATTTAAAATCCTCGTCTACATTGTGAAGGTGACAGGGCAAAGGCACTGGGCTTTTGCAACCATTTACTTTTCCCACTGCCTTTCATCATGGTTGCACATTGTGACAGGAGTAGAGAAGAGGAAACATGCATGTTAAATACTTACAGATGATACCTGGGGCTGGACACGGAGACAGGAGGAAAGCAAGAGTTCCTGTCAACTAGAAATAAACCACCCACAAGCTGCAGCAACACAAAAGGAGAAAAGAGCTTTGCTGCAAACTCAGATAAACCAATAAAGAACCAGGGAGAAAATTGAATCTCTTGGATATTGCCAATAAAGTCATGGAAGGGCAGAGACTCAGATCTGATTCTGAGCCAGGGCAAAGAATGAATTGGAAATGGCTTGCTTCATTTGTTTTTTGGGGAGGATTACAGTTCCTGACCCAGTTCCTACAGTACACCTAAATTAAAATATCATTTGGATGGTTTGGTCTTAATGTTCTGTGTGAATCTACTCTGCCTTATAGATTATATTCGCAATAAAATATTCATGATATGCACTAATATGGAGCCCTGACTTTTACCTGTGTCCATTTTTTAATCTTTCAATTCTTCAGGTTTTTTTACATCACCTTCAACTTTGTTTGCTAAAAAGCAATCTTCTATACCTGGCTTAAAATTAAATATAAAGAAGACCAAAATAATGACAATGGATACAGCAATCAGCCCTAGAATTGACAATAAAGATATCAAAGTGGTGGATAACTTCTGCCTTTAAGATCACCAGTACTAATAAAAGGACAAGCAATCAAGAAATAATCACAGAATAGCACTTGAGAGGCCAACTGTGAAGGCCTTGGAAAAGATATTCAGATGTTGTGATGTGTCTATACCTCCAAAATCAGAATTGTATGAGCAATTCTCTGTGTGACGCTATAGAAAGCAAAAGTTGGACTTTGAAGAAACAGGATAGAAAGAACTTTGAACTTTTGAACTATGGTATTGAAAAAGATTTGGATTTCTTTTATCTCACCATAATCTTAGTTGCAGTTCTTCCTGTTTCTCAGGGTTATTGCTTCTGCATTTAAATATAATGATTATAATTGCCAATAATTTTTATTTCCAAGGGAGTCATAGGTCTGTATGGGTCCAGAGGCTTTCTTAGAAGTGAAAATCATGTTAAAAACTAGCATTTTGTTTCACAGCATGCCAACTTCTCATTTTGAAAATTAGTTAATTTTCTACATGAATCAGGTGCATAGAAAACCTGGTAAGTGCCGAGGATGGACACAGAAACAACAATGATTTATGGTTTGATCATTAACCATAATTGAATAAAATATAAGTTGATTTGACATAAACCGTAGTGACTGGATTCACATACCACAGTTATTTAAAACTAAATACACAAAGTACCGTAGTATACTATTCATAATAAAGAATAATATAAAAATGATCACAACGTTATAATCTCACAACTTATTTCATAAGGAACTATTAACAGCAGCATCATTGGACAAAGTGTTCTTGCAGGTGCATCATTAATCTTCCGGACAGATTGTACCTTAGCACTTGAAATAACGAGTCTTATGAAGCTAAATTATTCTACTTAAATTGTACTTGTCCATATGGTGGATATTTTATCTAGATACGTTTCATTAGTTCTTCACTAATTAGTTCATTAGGAATTACAGAGAAAAACTCCAAATGGCTTATTCTCAAATGTAATGAGAGTGACTTATGGATATGAGCAATGTAATAACATAAAAACACATGCAAACCAATGTACTGTGCTGCTTTTAAAAAAATCCTTCCCATATGCTGATGGGATCTATGCTGATAAAATTAATTTGAGAACAGAATTTGGAGTTTAGTAACTAGAATGTAGCGAAGAATTCAGTAACAACCAAATATGCAGATTTGTGAAAAAAATGGGTAAATTCTGTTAGTATCAGTAGAGAGCAGTTGTGAATTCCATCTCATCACTGTAAAGTGTTATGGTGATATCATTTCTTCAGATTGTATGTATAATCAGTGCTTTTTTTGTAAAAACAAAAAACAGTGGCAGAACTCACACACGTCATACACCCCCCCCTTGCCTATCCTACAAGGTTTACTGTTGTAGTTAAAAAAAAAAAAAACCTTTCAATTTTTAGTGTATCTAAAAGACTAGGATTTTGTTCAAGGTAAGTTAATAGTATTAATGTTACCATTTACTGCGTGGCTTTGAATTACAAGAAGGCATTTTATTAATCTTTTGGGACATTTACCACTGGCATACCCATTTCGTTTAATGAAATGTCAGCTTTCTATATGGAATGAAATTGGCCAAATAAAACAAAATTTGGTTGGTTGTAAAAGATTGAATTATTTTTAAGAAGTTGTCAAGCTTAATATGGATAGTGACTTGAAACAAATTAGAGTTGAAACTGTCAGTGAACAGATTACTTTTAATTTACGTTTAAGTCAAACCCAATTTAATAAATAGATCTGATTAAACCTCATACTGTAGGCCTACCTTTACATTTTACCAATACATAATAATAATACTTCCAAATCACAACATTGGCTTTATTCTTATTCTTCTACTCTGCAGTTTGAACATGAAGTATAAAAGGCTAAAAAGAGATTTTTGTAGACATCCCAGCCTTTGAACTACCCAAGGAACCGAAATAGCAAAGTTTCACTGTTGGGCAAGCTTCCATGCCAGCTGCCTTTCTTTCCTCTCGCTTCATCTCTTTTTAACCTCACACTCCCTCTGTAAGGGAAGGCAGAAGACTCACTCACCCTCTCGTGAAAGATGGCCTCCATGTTTATGTGTCTCCCACCGCCACCATCGGCTTCCACACCACATGGTCCAACCCAGCCAATCAAGCCACGCTCTGGCTGTGGTGCTCCGGCACCTCATGACTCCTCCTACAGGAGGCAGATAGCGCCGGAGGGGACCCTGCTCGCATTGTACTGCCAGCGGGGCATTTTCAAAAACAAACGAGGATAGGAAGAGAAACAATAGGAAAAGAATGCAACTCTGGAAAATCCGTCAAAAAAAGGTGCCGGAATTCTGTTCCAGTGCGTTCTATGACAAAAAAAAAGCCCTGTGTATAATATTATTTACCACTTGAAGAAAATTGGCTGAACAATATTCATTGAAGAACAATGCTTTTAAAGTTTAATTTTTTACTTATTTTTATCCCACCTATATTAGTTTTATAAATAACTGAAGATGGCAAACACACTGAACATTTCTTCTTCCTCTTCTTTTCACCACAACAATAATCTTACGAGGTAGGTTGAGCTGAGAGAGAGTGACTGACCCAAGGTCACCTCACTGGCTTTTATGCCCAAGGCAGGGCTAGAACTCTCAGTCTCCCAGTTTCAATCCTGGTGCCTTAACTGTTAGACCAAATTGGCTCTAAATTCAACTAAATCTTTTATATATTAGTATCATCAAAAAAATTGAACCATTACATAGTTTTTCTCTATCTGGTGCACACCACCAGGTGTGTGCAGCTTCAGTTCCCATAATCCTTAGCTGGCATGCTTTGCTGGCTATGGGTTAAAGGAATTATTCAACTTTCCTGGAAGACACCAGATTAAGAAACGTTGATACAGTACCAACAGTATTCTTACAAATGGGCTACGTTCTGAGAGTTCATAAGTCCATTTGCAAGTCTAACAAGCATATATCAACGCTACTAACATCGGATGTTCTTGCTTTAACAACAGATGAAAATGCAGCCATTTTCTCTATGCTTTTAGAATTAGTTGGTGCTGGGAGAGGGGATTGGAATTGGAAAGAGAGTTCAGTTAGTCATAATAATAACTCTGCTGTGGAAATCCAAGGACAAAATGGGTCCAGAGCCGATAATGTTTTAGCAGGCTGGAGAGCTGGGGAGAAAGCCCCCACTTCAAGCTAATTGGGGAATATAATTTATGACTGGTTATTGGGGGTGGGAATTGTACTTTGTTATTTTGTATCCAGGGGAGGGGAATTTAGTTTTCGGGTTCAACTATGTAGTGCTGATACTTTGTTTCCCAAATAGAAGATTCTTTAAGGAAAACAGTGCCTCAAAGTTCTTTTGAAGGGTTTCATCTGTCGGAACCATGACAGCATAAAAACATGCATAATATACAGCTCTTATTTTACAGTATACAAACAGTGAACAGTGCAAGAGGAAGGCGGGAAAGGGTTAGTTTCTGATGTGCCACTTCCTTCTCCCACTCCTAGAACCTTTTAGGTTGGGGTTGCAGACAGGCTCGTTTATATTAATGAAAATTCAAAATTTGAAAGTTCGTAAGTTGAGTAATGTCTATATAAGACTACTTGAAACACAAGTCTTCTTTACCACTAGGGGGCCCTTTGTAACCATAACAGGTATAATGTACATCTCAGTTTTATTTGTCATAAATCTCACCTATAGTTCCTAACACAAACTTATTAGCCTGCTAGACCTCCAAATGTTATAGAATCAGCAAATACTGCATCCAGACTGAAGGGAAGCACCATTGCTTCATTGTTTAATGCCCACAAGGGCTTTGTTTTGTGGAGAGTGGAAAGCTTAAGTCACAGATGGAAAACCCTGACTATAAAACTCACTGCATTCTGGTTTTGCTAGGTATGTATATATGTTGCCATTAATTATTCTGCAGGAATTCAAATTACACAATTTAAAATCGTTTCCACTCCCTTGCTTCCCTTGAAGACTGTTATGTTTCTTGCTACTCAAGGTATAGTACTGACACTACTCTGATAAATCGCCCCTCCTTGCTACAGTTACTATTATATTGTCCAGCAACAATGCCGGCTCCAAGACAATACCTGAAGTTGTAAATGTTTTCCTTTATGCAACAGTATGACTCCATCCAGAACAGACAAATCACCTGAATTCTAAACTTAAGACTCAGCAACAATTCAGTCTTGTCCATATCCCTCTACAGCCTGGAGATGTGTAACCCTGACATTGGAGAAAGAAGTAGAACTGAATATAATCAAAGTATTGTTGGAACCTGACTCCAGACTCATGTGTGAATTTTCTCAGTCCATAGAACAATTTGATAACGTTAAAGATAATGGACTTTTGCTGGATCCAGAAACAGAACAATACTGAGGAATTGAGAGGTCTTCCAAAACCATCTACTGATACCCCAAGTAATAGAATTGGAGGCAATGCTGAATAGGGCCTTCCATCTCAACCATCCTCATTCCCGAGTCAACACTATCAAAAGTCTGAGAGATCCTTGAATATCAAACATTCCTCTTGCTTCTTTCCTGGTAAGATCATCTATCAAGGTAACTAAGGTCATTTCCCATGCCAAACGTCTGTCTGAAGCCAGACTGGTAAATATCTAAATAATCTAAATAATCCATTTCCTCTAAGAAAGTGTAACATGGTTAAGCTAAACAGCACTCAGAGCCCTCTCTGTGGGTACGCACGCAGTCGCCCAGTCCTAGGCCTTCAGCTGGGTTTTATAAAACCTTTTTGCTTTAGGCCTCTGCCACCATGTGCAAAAAAAAAAAAAAAGGTTTAGTCAATTTCAACTTCAGGCGGGAAAAA